AGGTTTTGTCATCATCAGGTACCGAACCTTGTCGAAACGTTGTACATTTGCTGTTATGTTAAACTTATATTAAAGTTCTCTTCATTACCCATTCAAGCCATCTCCAACCATTATTAGTCTCAAGTGGGTTCCTCGTCATCGAATTTGAATTTATCACTGGAGAGGATGTATTTAATAAACAGCGAAAAACAGAAGCCATAATTATATATATATTGTCTGATTGACTACTATCAACAAATTGTAAGAAATGCAAAAATATTCTTGAGCACCTTTTGATAAGTTGCGATGACAGTTTTATATTTATTGGAACAGAAAATACTCGAGTAATATTACTCTTATTTGAGGGCTATATTAAAACTATTGGTCGTAAGACGTCGTCCTATTCGATCTTATGAGAAGGTAAATACTCGAACGCCTACCGCGGTTATCGCCGGTAGGATTTGTATATTTTTTGTTATGTCTGATTCTCTAACTTATAAGTTAGTATTTTGATAACTTCGGAGTTTCGGCGACGCTGATTTTCATAATTAACGTCTGTCTGCTAGTGAAATAATTAATTATCCGTTCTAGTCATGTCTAACTTTGGTGTTGCATCCGACGATGATAATTTTGATGTGTACGAAGATTTACGTCTGTAAGTTTGACTCTTCAGAGATTTCAGTATTACTATTACTACTAGTGACAATTACTGTATGTAATATCATATTAATTAATATTACTTTTAGTTTTACTAATACTAATTCCAGTCTTAGTGATTAAATATGCCAAATTATTCAGTAACAAGTAAGGCTAGCCTTATGTTAGTTGTTGTAATAAACTTTATATTCCTAAACAAGGTGTAAAGGGATCCTTTTAAACTTAAAGCCTAAACTAAAGTAAGAGTGATATTATCAGAGATTAGAAGTAAACAGAACAGAGTAATGCTTTTTTTTTTTAAATCTAGAATCCACAAAAAGTTTTTTTTGGGGATAAAAACTAATGTTGTATTAGTAGTTCATTATTTTTTTGTATTAATAATAAGTTATTATTAACAAAGTTTGAGTGAAATAAATAGGCATTCTTGAATTTTGTTTTCTCAGATATTATCATATTTGTTTCATACGGGAAAAGTTCATAGATTAGATATAGTACTTATGACTTGCTTTTGTATTTAATAGTGGCCGACCAAATACAACTTAGATATTTGTAACCAATGACAATGAATACTTTTATTTTTTAAGGAGAGTTATGATAGAGAAGAAACTGATACACAAACTATACAACAGAACCCTGAAATGACTAGCAAATAACATGTACCTAAGAATAAATATTGGTTTCTGTATATCAGTCACTTACAACTCATTAATGACTAATATGGCTGATAATAATCTTAATTATGTTTCATTTGAGACTTCAAAACTTTGTAATAATCCTGTTATTCTGATGAGCTCTGGTACTGAACAGGTCTTATTGACTTTAGCTAACAGCAAGGTGAAGTTGATATACTGTTATACACTCTTATTCAAAATCCATATTGGACCAGTCAAGAATGACATGTTTGAAATTATAATTGGTTTGTCAGCAGTATATTTTCTCACTTTACTGTAAATGAGAGCGTACTGCACTATCTTATATCCTGTACATCTTCAGACTGGTTCATTGCATTATTGTTTCTTATTCTGTTGATAAACAACTTAAAATATAATAAAAGAATTATCTAGAAAGAAAATATAAATTA